AAAAAAAAAAAAAAAAAAAAATTGTGGTAGAATACATATAAAATTTACTTTCTTAACCATTAAGTGTGCAGTTCAGTGGTATTAAGTGTACCATTCATTGGTATTAAGTGTAGAGCTCAGTGGTATTAAGTATAGCATTCAGTGGTATTAAGTGTACCGTTTGGTGGTATTAAGTGTAGAGTTCAGTGGTATTAAGTCAGTGGCATTAAGTGTAGAGTTCAGTGGTATTAAGTGTACCATTCAGTGGTATTAAGTGTACCGTTCAGTGGTGTTAAGTGTAGAGTTCAGTGGTGTTAAGTGTAGAGTTCAGTGGTATTAAGTGTAGAGTTCAGTGGTATTAAGCGTAGAGTTCGGTGGTATTAAGCGTAGAGTTCGGTGGTATTAAGTGTACCGTTCGGTAGTGTTAAGTGTAGAGTTCGGTGGTGTTAAGTGTAGAGTTCGGTGGTATTAAGTGTAGAGTTCGGTGTAGAGTTCGGTGGTGTTAAGTGTAGAGTTCGGTGGTATTAAGCATAGAGTTCGGTGATATTAAGTGTACTGTTAGGTGGTATTAAGTGTACCATTCAGTGGTATTAGGTACAGCTGTATTGTTATACAGCCCTGACCATCACCTCCAAACACATTTCCTCTTGCAAAAGTGAAATTTCATACTCAAACAGTAAGTCTCCAGTTTTTCCCTTCCCCAAGCCTGGCAACCACCATTTAACCTTTTGTCTCTATGATTAGACTTCTCCAGGCACTGGGCACTTTTATGAAAAGTGTAAATTGGCTGGAAAGCTTGCTTTGGTTTAGCTGCAGGGTGGTATGACCAGCTCATACCTAAATACTCAGCCTTCTATGGACATCATCACATCATCTCACCTTACCAACAAAACCCATCTCGTCGTCCCTGCCATACTCCTAACTGGTAACCAGGAAGAAAAAGTGGCATTTTTTTCATAGGACATATAAACTTTTCTTATATGTCCTATAAATTTACACAATTTCATTTAACATTGTGAACTAATCTATTATACTTAAGACATTTATGTTGACTCCAGGAAGCTCCACTTCATGTTCTCCTCTGCCTGATTGCTCTTGGCTACCAGGTGTGGATTATTCTTTGCCCTTTAAAGGTGATCTCCCTCCCAGGCTAACTCCAAACAGATACCTAGGCAGGTCTTCCTGTAACAGGAGGAGGGACCTGAGAACCTTCTGGTTGCACTCATTATCTTTCCAAGCTCCACATCTGTCCGAATTTTTATGATCCTGGCACCGTTTCCACTGGTTCTAAGCAGAGATGTTTCAGTACCCCATGTTTCATTTCATCCTTGCTGGTGTCCTCACTCAAGTCCAACTTGCAGTGACCCACCTCTGAGCTCCATCCACCCGTAGATGACAGGGCATGCTCTGAACTGGACTTTGCACTCCTGATATTCCAGCTTTTGAGACATTTCTTCTAAAGTAGCTATTCTGGTTCGTTCAGTGTATGCAGCTTCTGAGTATGATAAAACCCACAAAGGTTTTTTTTTTGGTAGTATTCCTTTTTATCATTAGTTAATTTTGCTTCCTGTTTTCATTTTCTTTCAGAGAAAAAACTGCAGTACTATCTATACCTACCTTTCTTTCAGAGTTTATAAAAAAAATTAATATTCCCTACAAAGCAAAACTACGGTAAGCGGCAGCGTCTTTCTGATCATCTCTTAGTTGCTTCGCCTCCCACCAGGGCAGCTCTCCACAGAGGCGAGAATTCCTCTGCAGGGCCTAATTAACGACGCACCATGTTTCCCCATTTCTCATGTCTAGCTCCACCCCCACCAGGAAGCGTCTCATCATCTGCAGGTCCAAGTCAATGCTGCTTCCTAAATCTCAGGCCCTGCACAGTTTCCCTACAGACCCTGTGGGCTGCCACGGACCTGAAATGGCTCGACGCGTAACTCGGTGCACAGAGTGTTCAGCTCTTGTTGACAGACGGATATGCTTTTGATGAGTCTTTCCTTCAGGCTTTCCTCTTCAGCAATCATCATATCCAGGAGTTCCTACAAGGGAGAAAACAGTCCATAATACTGAGGCCATGGAGGAAAAAACTCCCAACACCAAACTCCTGAAATTTTTCTTTTTTTTTTTTTTTTTCTTGAGACAGAGTCTCACTCTGTCACCCAGGCCAGAG